GGCTGGGCGCCTCTGCTGGTGGCTGGGCGCCTCTGCTGGTGGCTGGGTACCTCTGCTGGTGGCTGGGCACCTCTCCTTGGCACAGCTCAGACATATTTTTATATACTTCAGTAAGACACTTTCAACTCTTATATCCCACACCTCGTAAACCAGTAGTATTGATATTAGAGCTAGGTGAGGCTTCCTCAGATCATCCCGTCTCGGGGTAATAGATTGATTGAGCGGCCGTGGGAGCAAGAGCCACTGATGCATTCTCTGTGGCCATTAAGAGAAAAGCCCTCGGGCAAGAGATGTTCTGTTGACTTTGCCAGACTCCATCACTGCAATCTGCTTGACCTTCGTGAGCGTCTGAAAAGACCCCTAAACTAGTATAACTAGTTCAGCAGATCAAGGAAAGACCCCTAAACTAGTATAACTAGTTCAGCAGATCAAGGAAAGACCGCTAAACTAGTATAACTAGTTCAGCAGATCAAGGAAAGACCCCTAAACTAGTATAACTAGTTCAGCAGATCAAGGAACTAGCAGAGTCCAGTGTGCAGGAAGAGATTTGGGGGACTTGGGTTTTGTTCCTCATCATTTCTTCGTTCCAGCACACTATTCCTTAAATCAGATATAAGGAATTTTTCTGTTATACGTTGATAGAAATAAAAGTGTTTGTGCCTACTTCTTCACGGTGAAATGGAATTGATTGGAAGATATGTTTACATAAGCAAATTGTAGTCATGGTTATCAGGGATAAAGACAATACTTGTTGGGTAGTGGTGGTGCACGGCTTTAATCCCAGCACTGGGAGACAGAGGCAAGTGGATCTCTGTGAGTTCAAGGCCAGCCTGGTCTACAGAGTGGGTTCCAGGACAGACTCCAGAGCTACACAGAGAAATCTTCTCTCAAAAAAAAAAAACGAAAAACAAAAAAAAGAAAATACATAATCTTTACATTTGCATTTATTCTAAGAGAGAGAGAGACCAGCTAAATGATTTCTTCCTCTCCTGGATATTGGGAAGGCAGAGAAGATTTCCATTTACCTTTGGGGTTTGCAGTTGACAAAGCACAGTTAAATTAATGCCTTGGTTTGTTTGTCTTTTTCAGCACAATGTTAGAGGTGTTGTATCTATGGCTAATAATGGCCCAAATACCAACGGATCTCAGTTCTTCATCACCTACGGCAAGCAGCCGCATCTGGACATGAAGTACACAGTGTTTGGAAAGTGAGTGTTCTTGTCTTCTTGGTGCATCCGTGTACGCCCGTGATCCTAGCATAGCTCACGCTGGAAAGACTGGTGGGCAGCTAGAGTTCCTGGGCTCTAGGCCCACCAGTCAGCAGCTGTCTTACCTTGAAGAAGTTATACACTGTCTGAGCTTCATTTTCTTTATTTTGTTTAAGAGCCACGAAAGAATTGCTTAGGCAAGTTATGCAAATTAATACATAAATTAATATATATGTATATATACACACATATATATATTTGTCTGAAAGTGACGTAAACAAAGTAGACTATCAAGATGGCTGTCACCTGTGTTCCAGGCACCTCTTGCTCTTCAGCCGTCACTGGTTTTCACTCTTAAGCTCACCTCAGTTATCCAGGCAACACAGCTAGTTAGAACGTGTGTCCAGCAAAAAGGAGGAGAGGGGCCAAGGACCTTCCTAAACAGCTTCGCACTGAGCTAGTGATGCGAGGTGGTTCAACACGTCAAGAAAGCACTTGTCTGTCGTGGGCAGACCTGACAGCCTGCCTCTGACCCTGGGGACCACGTAAAGGGGAAAGGAGAGAGGAGAGAACCCACACCACGGAAATCCTTAGGCCTCTGCACACACATCCACAACTGCACGCAATAAATAAATATACTTTTTAAAGAGTTAAAAATAAAAAAAAAAAATAAAAAAACTTTCCCAGAAGTTCTAGAACTTGACAGTGTGCCCACACCTTACCTATGAGGGAGAACATGTGATGTGCTCAGCTGGATGGATTGTGCCATCAGTAAAGGATGCCAGAGGAAAAAATGATCCTGGGGAGCTGTTCGGCACTGTTTGCCTAATTGTGCATTATAGACACTTTAAAGTTGCTTTTATTTATTTATTTGGTTTGTTGAGACAGGGTTTCTCTGTAGCTTTGGAGCCTGTCCTGGAACTAGCTCTTGTAGACCGGGCTGCCCTTGAACTCACAGAGATCCACCTGCCTCTGTCTCCCGAGTGCTGGGATTAAAGGCGTGCGCCACCACCTGACTTAATTGTCTTGAATGTAGAAGTAAACCTAGAAGGTGTGGTGGTGTGGTTATCCCTTCTGGCCTTCTTCCCTGTGTGCTTTTGTTTGCTTGTTTGATACGGGGACTCACAGTGGAGCCCCAGCTGACCTGGAACTCACTCTGTACATCAGGATGGCCTTGAACTCACAGACTCTACCTGCCTTTGCAGGCTGGGATTAAAGACTTATTTTTAGCCAGCTTTTCTTAAATTATCCCATTTACCTTTTACATTTGGGCTTTTATCTTTCTCTATTTCGGTATTTCTTTCTTTACTTTTTACTCTGTAGCTTGATGTGTAGTTGGGTGGCTGACCCCTGATGTCCTCCCTCTTTTCTCATTCCTAGATTCTTTATCTTTTTCTCCTTTTATTCTCTCTCTCTCTCTGCCAGCCCCGCCTATCCTTTCTCCTGCCTTGTGATTGGCTGATTGGCCGATGGGCCGTTCTCAGGTGTTTTAGAAAGGCGAAGTAACACAGCTTCGCAGATGAAATAAAATGCAACATAAGAGAATGTAACACATGTCTGCATCATTAAACAAATGTTTTCCAGCAGAAACAAATGTAACAAAACTTAAGATACTCAGCAACACTTTTTATTTAAGTACATGTTTCATTGACTGGAGAGATAGGTGGCTCATAAGTTAAAACCTCTGGCTGCTCTTCCAGAGGAAGACCCACACTGTGGCTTGCAGCCTCTGTAACAACAGTTCTTGGGATACCACACCCTCTTCTGGCTTCCTTGGGCACTACATGCATGTGATTTACAAATATACATGCTGGCAAAACACCCATATACATAAAATAAAAATTAAGTGTATCTATAAACCCTGATCCTTGCATTGCATTGTATTTAGTTGTAATATATAAAAGCATTTTCACTCAGCAAATGCATAGGCTTAGATTCCAACCTTGTATTTTGTTTTAAGGAAAGGCATTTTTTTGGGGCTGGAGAGATGGCTCAGCAGTTAAGAGCACTGACTACTCTTCCAGAGGACCTGCATTCAATTCCCAGCACCCATGTGGCAGCTCACAATTGTCTTTAACTTCAGTTCCAGGGGATCTGACACCCTCAGACAGACATGTATGTAGGCAAAACACCAATGCACATGAGATAAATTATTTAAAAAAAAATTAAAAAGCTTTTTTTAAAAACAAACAAACAAACAAACACATTTTTAGGGGCTGGGGAGATGGCTCAGCAGTTAAGAGCACTGTCTGCTTTTCCAGAGGACCTGAGTTCAATTCCTAGTACCCACATGGTGGCTCACAACCATCTGTAGTGAGTTCTGGTGTGCAGGCATACATGCAGGTTGAACACTGTATACATAATAAATATTTTAAAAAACACATTTTTAGAAGTTTTGGCCCATGATCATTTGCTTCAGGGCTTTGGCCTATTTAGCACATCACGGCAGCATGTGGTGGACCAAACTCCTCACTTCGTGGCCAAGAAGCAAGAGAGAAGGGAAGAGATAAGGTTCCACAGTTCTTTTTAAGAACAGAGTATCTGTGACCCAGAGACTTCCGGCTGTGCCCCCATTCTTTGTTTGTGGGGGGGGGGGGACAGAGATTCTACCAGGTGGCTTCCTTAGTCTCTCACTGATTCAGCTAGACTGGCTAGCGAAAAAGGCCCCTATCTCCACTCAGCCAGCTCTGGGATTATAGGTGTGCTGGGGTCTGAACTCACATCCTCTTGCAAACAGCGGCCATCTGCTCGGGACCTAGACTCTGTCTCTTAAAGGCTTTAGTGCTTCCCAATATCCCAAGCTGGTTACCAACTAGCACATGGACCTCTGAGGGGTACTCAAGTTCCAAACCATAGCAGCAGGTATGTATACATATCCTTGAGATCACTCAGTTGTAATGAGAAAGACCTGGGGAAGTGTGGGCCTGAATTCAGGGCCACTTCACTCTCCTTGGTGACTTCCGTGGATGGGACTGACCTTACAATCCTGCCAGGCCACGTGATCAGAAGAGAAGGCCCACTGAGGTGAGCACTCCCTTCTGGAGACTAGTTGCTGCAGACACTATCTCACTGAGTGGCGCACTCCCCTCTGGAGACTGTAGTTGCTGCAGACACTCTATTTCAAGCTGAGGACAATTCTCATAGCACATTGCTTCTCTTCCAGGGTCATAGATGGTCTGGAGACTTTGGATGAACTGGAGAAGTTACCAGTGAACGAGAAGACATACAGACCTCTTAATGATGTGCACATCAAGGACATAACTATTCATGCCAACCCATTTGCTCAGTAGCTGCAGCAGGCCTGGACAGACACTTGGCAAGCTCGTCACTGGAACATGCCCATTGGCCTTTATCCAGTTCTGATTACGTCGGAGACGGAGGTTCTTCTGGTGTTTACAGTAATGGCATCTGTCGGGGAGGCCCGTCGTGTTCACCCCCAGTTGTTAGCATATTCTGTACCACTGCTGTTAGTCAGTGTTTTAATACAAAGGAATGCCTTATTTTTTTAAGGCCGGACATTCATAACTAAGAATAAGCCTCCGTGTGTGATTTATTTGGGAGCTGGGTGGTAGGCTCCTCAAAAAGCCAAAAGAAAAACAACAACAACAAAAAAAAAGCCAGGCCTCTTAAGCACAGAAATTTAAACTTAAAACAATGTTAGCCATCACATAATCTTAGTTTCATTTAACAGCATAGAGCTTCCCATCTAGCCACCTCCCCCATCCACACCTGTGAAGTATTCTCATGTGGTTCTGTTTGAATAACTAACATCAGTCAAAACAATTTACTGAACTTCCAGGTTTGGATACGAAGTGTATAGGTGAGAGTCTAAGGAGCTAGCAGACACAAACCATGTAATCCGCAGGAGTGACTTTCAGTTGGAAAAGTGAACACATTACGATTTCACTAGCAAACACTGTTCTTTCCATCTGTCCTCTTGGTGGCGCGGGCCTGTAATCCAGTATGTGAGAAGCAGAGGCAGTAGGATCACCACGAATGTGACAACCTGATCTCTCTATAGGGAGTTCAGGCCAGTGGGGGCCACAGGAGTGAGATAAAAGACTGTCAAAACACAGAATTCCAAATTGTACATAGACAGCAATAAAGGTGAACCCAATCCTTACAGGTTACTAGAATCAAGTAAACACGTAACAGTTACTTTTCTGGGTGCCGTGACAAACCGCCTGAGAAGCAGCTCTTGCAGGAAGCTCATTTGACTCACTGTTCAAGGGCTCCGTCTGTCAAGGCACCAGGAACCTGACATAAGTGGTGGAATGAAAAAATAAAGGAAAGGACGTGACCGTTCCTAGGTATGGCGGAGGATAAAGTCTATTACACATAAAAGTGAAGGCATAAGCAGAGAGAATGGACAGGACCAAACTGAGCTGGGCCATGTGGGGAGGGGAGAGAGAGGAACCAGAGTTGCAGCAACCAGGAGACCAAAGGTAACGAAAATGTCTGGATTATATAGGGAAGAGCCTCTCGAGGAAGGGCAGCCCAGCCCCTGGGCCGCACAGTTCAGGATAGAGGATGGGGTATTTAAGTCATACCCTGTAACGGAGTGAAGGGTCCCATGAGAACCTGGGGGTCAGGTCCACTGGGATATGTTAGATAGGCCAGCTGTCCCTGGTTTGACACTAACATCCCAGTCTTTTTTGTTTGTTTTTCGAGACAGGGTTTCTCTGTAGCTGTGGAGCCTGCCCTGGAACTCACTCTGTAGTCCAGGCTGGCCTCGAACTCACAGAGATCCACCTGCCTCTGCCTCCCCAGTGCTGGGATTAAAGGCGTGTGCCACCACCGCACGGCCATCCCAGCCTTTTTTTATGGTAATAAGAAGGGATGATTTAATCATCTATTATTACTTATTGCTGACATTGGAGCATCCTTGTTGGGGGACCCCAAAGCTGGAATAGTGGCCAACTCTGGGAAGAGCAGGCTTTCACTCTGCAGGCTCTGCAGGACCATCTGGGACTAGGAAGAGTTTGCAGGCTTTACCTGTCTTTACCTGACAGGAAATCTGCTCGAACAGCTATGCATGTTAGGGTCAGAAGTTAAGGAGTTTAGAAGCTTTTTCTTAGCTGCACATTTGAAACTTTTAGGCCAAGGTACCTGGTGGCTGGGGGAAGGGAGTCCCAAGACCAAGGATTTCCCACCCTCAAGAATAGACAGGTGGGGAAACAGGCTGTTGATTGACAGAGTTCACTTGACCTTGTTTTTTGAGACAGGGTTTCTTTGTAGCTTTGGGGCCTGTCCCTAAACTCCCTCTGTAGGCCAGGCTGGTCTTGAACTCACAGAGATCCTCCTGCCTCTGCCTCCTGAGTGCTGGGATTAAAGGGGTGCACTACCACCACCCAGGTGATTTCTTTTTAGAGTCTGGTTGCAAGGTAAACTGTCTTTCTCAGCTGGAGACCTCAGCAAGGTAAACTGTCTTTCTCAGCTGGAGACCTCATTTTTATTCAAGAAGAACTGAGAACTGAGAGGGTAGCTGAAGCTTTGGTTGCTGCTGTTAAGCTGACAAAGCTCCCACCAGCGTAGTCATCAACTCCATCAGAGATCTGAGAAGGTAAATGTCACCGTAGTAAGCAGGAAATGCAGACCAAACAGCCGCAGTCTATTAAAAACGACAGAAACTAACACTGTCTCATAAAACGGAACAAAAAACTTTTAAACGGTTGCAATCAGGGCGCGTGCTCCTTCTGACCGTGCTCCTTCCTCGTGTGCCGGGTCTGCGGAGTCAGACCAAATATTTCTGTGAGCGCAGAGGAGAGCATGACCGTGACTGCGGCGTGGGGAGGGAAGGATTCTCAGGGGAAGCCTTAGGGACAGCGCCACTGCCTCCGTAGTCTTCCCGCACCCCGCCGGGGACGGTCCCGCGCCTGCGCACCCGGGACGGGTCCCCGCCTGCGCACTCAGGACGCGCGCAGGCCCCGCCCCTCGCGTCATCCGCGTCTCGGAGAAGAAGCCTGAGCCTCGGCCGTCAGCTCCATTTTGTGCCGGGAGTCCGTCGTCGTCGCTGTCTCTGTTGCTATCGCCTTCACTCTTCCTGCCCTTGCCTTGCGAGCTCTGTCACCGCGGTCGGTGTCCCTGCGGAAAGGTAAGCCGCGGGGTCCGTGCGGACGCTGCCCCGCCGTGCCCTCCCTGGACCGCGCTGGGTGTCGCGGTGCTGGGCCGGCTCCCCGTTCCCACGGCGGCCGCTCAGCCCTGC